AAATAAGTGGGGGCTGTAAGAAATTTTTAGTAAGTGATTTTTAGGAGGAATGAAGGGGACTGAAGAACAGACTGGGGACAAATGTCCTTGGCTTTGGTTATGGGTCAAATCCAGCCTTTCTTATAGTCAGTCTCCTGGGAGATCCACCCCTTAGGCAGACAGGAAAACTTCAGAGAAAGCTCCTTCCTGTGCTTCAGGAGGACCAGAGGGAAAAGACATGAGGGGAGAGTCAGAGACCTTGGTTGTCCTTCAGTATGATTTAGAATGTCAAAACACCAATCTTTGGGTACTGTTTTCTGAGCCCCAGAACTTCTCCAACCTGCCTCATTTTTCTTCACAACACTACAAGCATCATATGTGCCCAAGCCCAAAGCAAATGTAGTTCTGTGAGGAACTCTGTACCTACTCCCCCACCATAGCAGAACAGTGGCTGGCAGAACCAGAGTGATGCTGAGTAAGTAGTTTATTAAATTATCTCAGGCTTTTCCTGTGTGTCTTCTATTCTGTTTTAGCAGTGTAGATTTTGTCCTTTGCTCTAATTTATGAAGTTTATTTTCCTAGGTCCACTTTCCTTTGTATCATATTGTATTGTAGAATTCTGTTTTCATTGATTTTCTTTCTCCTTAATTTCTTTTAGAGTATAGGGCATTTGTTGTGAAAGATGCTGTTTTCTAGAGTACATTTTCTTTCAGTCCTGCATCTTTTCTCCTGTATTCTGTACACAGTTTACAAGCAGTTTCTTCTCATGATGAGCAAAGGGGCTTGGTGAGTGCCAAATTACAGTGCGGGTGATTCCTTGCACTTTTGCCTGCTCAGTATGCACTCTTTTGTTCTCTTTTAACTGCATCCAGCTAAGTCAATCCCTCTCAGGAAATAAGACAGAATTCAGAAGGAGGCAGCCATAGAAAGACAGGAAAGATCAAGAGAAAGTGCTCACTTAGGCAGCACATATACTTAAAAAAAAAAAAAGATGAAGAGAAAAATACCAGTTCATGCACTAGTCCATGATCAGGCTTGGGATGTAGCTCAGTGGAAGAGTGAAATCCCTGCATGTGCAAAGCCCTGGGTTGATCTCTATTCAGCACCACAAAACAGCAACAGTAGCCAAAAATCAGAGAGGAAATGGATTGATAAATAGCCTGGCTTTAAGGTCTCAACTGCCACTGAAATATAAGGGCCCAACACCATTTGCTTCACATTTTCTTCACTGGGTAGGAATTGAGCAGGTGAAACTTCTTGGGAAATGGGAGTGAAGAGTGGAAACTTTTCCCCTAAGAGCAATCATTTCAGTTACAAATTAAGCCATCAAACACAAAGAAAAGCAAAATTTACTGTTTGGCAGAACAATCCATGTAAATAATTGTGTTTGGAAACAGGATCTATGTCCTTGATAAGGAAGAGTGTGTTCCGATTAAGCAGTGTCAAACAACATTCTATCTATACAAAATACAGGTGGCAGTGGCATGAAATTGAATCCCCATTGCTCATGAGCTCCATCCTTCCAGGTGACAAGACATGTCTAGGGTACCAGTTCTCAGATGAGCTTCTGCTGAAATGCTGGATGTAACCAGGTCTAGAGGATCAGGGTCCCCTCTGCTCATTGGCCTCCTACCCAGGTTAAGTCAAAATGCCACCCCCAGTGGCTTTTCCCTTTCTTGGGGAGCATGGCTGTGGCAATCATGTCGTTTGTATGCTGCACAGTGTCCAGTGGGATGGCAGCTGGAGCAAAACTCCAGCTTACACAAACTGGGTCCTGCTATGAAGCTGCTTCTGCTCAAATAGCTTTTTTTTTTCATGCGTTTACTAAGTCTTTTTTTCCTTTTTCTTTTTTTGAGACAGTCTCACTATGTATGTAATTCAGGCTGGCCTTGAACTCACTTTGTAGCCTAGGCTGGTCTTGCTTTTACTGTGTCTTGTGCCTACATGGTACCTGAAAATGGTTTGGCTGTGAGGTGGGGGAAGAGCTTGCATGATTGAAAAACATTTTTTCCATAATGATGACTCAACACTCATTTGATTCCCTTCAAATTCACTAGGTTTTTCATGGTTTTGTAATCTTGTCCTGGACAGCTTTTTGAGGCCATAAGACAGGAGCAATATTCTAATTCCAGTGGATCTTTTGTTTTTTTTTTTTACTGCTTCTCAGAGTTTATGGTATGAGGTTGTATAGCTTCCATTGTCTGAATGCAAATAGAGGTGTTTTGCTGATCCAATCTTGTTTTCCATTCACAGTTCCAGTTTCTGAGATAGGGGCTTTTATAATCTGGCCACATGCTACTATGCTACTTCCAACCTCTCTGATTTAAATGGGGTCTCTCTGTGTTGCTATAATTGTTTTCACATTATGTTGACTCTTGCACTTTTATATGCTGTCTATTTAATATGCATGCTCACAAAGAGCTGACAGCATGTCTGAATCTACTCCCTAAGAGTGCTGTTGAAAATTTAAATGTATTCAGGTGTTCAACAAATGTTTATTGATGTCTACAAGGCACTGAGAGCTTATCACATATTGAAGTTGACATCAAGATGATCCTATTCTGATTTTTAAAAATTGAAATATGACATTTAAAGACCTAAATAAAATGGCAGGAAATATGGGAAAACATTGTGTTCCTTAAAATGATGCTTTGGAAATGTAGTTGAATTTGAAATTCAGTCAGGAGTTTCCAACAGACGTTGCTTGTACAATAAACTTACACAGTGAATCTGCCATTGTGATAGAGAAAGCTTTAAATCAGATTTAAATCTTGCCATGCCTGAAAGAATGTGCTAATATTTTCAGTCTCTAGTACAGCTGGTAAAACATTTGGGCTATGAAGACCAAATGTAACTTCTAAATTTCAGGTGTACTGTGTTCTAATTCATGCTACCTTTTGCTTTTCTAATTAGAAAACAGATACATATTGGCTTCTGGTTAGGTGAACATCAAGATTTACCAATATCAAAATCTCTTTCAGAACAATAAATTTTGAATATCATGGAAACATAAAATTGATACATGGGCTACAGGTTTTCAATGCTTCCAGGAGAAGAGGAAAACAAAATTTTGACTATGTAACACTTAAACAAGAAGCTAACATATTTGCAAATGATGTTTGATTTCAATTTACCAATTTTCTGGCAACTTTGCTCAGGTAATCAAACGAAATTTTTAAAAATTGTACAACAGAGTCTTTCTTCTTTGCTTCCTTCCTCCCTTCCTCCCTTCCTCCCACCCTACTTCCCCACTCTGAAGTAACAGTCCCAGATTCTTCATGGGGTTCAGGCTTATGTTTTTGCTTCTCATGCCTGGGTTTTATAAACTAGTTTTATTGTTCAGGGCCACCTTTTCACAAAATCTTTTATTTTTTTCTCTGTATTTTTTAGGGAAGGGTCTACAGGGTGTTCAGGATCTCACTACTAGATTTGACTCATTGATTCTCCTGTTTAGAGCTTCCCAAGTGCTGGGAATACAGGGACGCACCACCATGCCCAGTCTCAATCCCACTTCAGTGTGCCCTGGGGGTGGGGCTGGCCTGGCAGGCCTGGGGATCGAACCCCTAACCCCTGCGCCTGCTTGCAGGTGTTTTAATCCACTGAGCTATTTGGCCAGCCCTCAAAATCTCTTAAAGTACTGGTTGAAGTGATTTAATTCTCTTTCTCTTATTTCTCTTCCTTCCTTTATTTATTTATTTATTTATTTATTTATTTATTTATTTATTTTAGGAGAGGGTCTACAGGGTGTTCAGGGTTTCACTACTAGATCAGACTTGTAGTGGTCCACCTGTTTATAGCCTCCCAAGTGGTGGATTACAGGTGAGGGCCATCATGCCCAGTCTCAATTGTGGTCTCAGGGTGGCCTGCACGGCAGGCCCAGGATCAAACCTCTGGTCCCTGCGCCTGCTTGCAGGCGCTTTAATCTGCTGAGCTATTTGGCCAGCCCCTATTTCTCTTCTTAAGGTAGTTAGTAAAGTCAGATTTTATATTTTCCTTTTTATCTAATGCACATACAGTTTCTTAACAAAGAACTAGACATGGTGCCCTGAAGTCAAGAGAAATGAACTGACCTTTCCACATATTCACTCTTCATTTCTCTGCTATTCACTGTCTTTAGTGAAACTACCCATCTTTCCTTCATCCTTTTAGGGTTCTACAAATGGAATGCATTCTTCATGTGGAAAATCTGATCACTGAGGTGAAACTCTTTAAAAAGACTGGTCCAAAAAATAGTGCTCTTTGGGACCAGGGCTCAAACTAATGTGCCGCATTGTAACATTTAGGAAATACATTCATAAAATTCAAACATTCAATATTTCAATTTTTATTAATGATGAAGTAAATTTGGTAGCAAAAAATGTATAGTGGTAGGTACCACAGGTTATCTTCCACTCCATATCCAAAGCTACTAGATGAGAATGTTCAGAAGTATTAAACTCAATATTTTGAGTCTGAATAAACAATCTATCCAGATATATTAATTCAGAAATAAAATTTAATGACTTTTAATTTTTCTTTGACAAAGTTAACATTCCTAAGTTTAACATACTTCTGAACCACCCTAAATATGTTCTATATTTAGTGGTCGCTCAAAGAAAATGTCTGATAAGGTACAGATTTATCGCTTTATATTTAAATGCAACTCCTGTACTTCACACAAACACAAAACCACCATCATGTTCTCAAGGAAACTGTACAATAGCTTTGCATACTAAAATATTAACAATGCAGTTTCTGAAAATCAAGCAACAGCTGTCTATCTTGGCCTTAAAAATGTGCACTGTCATCATCTTCTAACACGACAAGGTCACTTAAAAATGTTCACCATTTTTCCAATATCTTTTGACTCAGAGTTAAGTATTACTAGTTGGCAAATTCACTTTAATGGCAGAAAGGTGCAAATTCAGTCTAAAGAGTAAGATTTATTTTGATGCAATTGTCTCTTCTCTCTGTCATCCTTCTTCCCTTCCTCTTTCTTTTCTTTTCACAGAGTCTTGCTATGTAGTCCAAGCTGGTCTTGAACTGCGATCCTCCTGCCTCAGCTCAAGTATTGGGATTATAGGTATGTGCCACCACATCCATTTCTGACAAACTATTCGATCGTAAAACATGCATCAGTGAACTTTCAATTCATAGGCTATTTCTATTGTCCAGTGAAGGTTATTATAGTTGGCTAATCACAAAGATTAATCACTTGATTAAAACATTTCTCACCTTTAGATTGGCAATGGCATGCAAAAGGCCTACTGCTTTGCCAGGGCCATCACAATCACCTCACATCATGACCAGTGAGGAAATGGCTACCTGGATGAAGCTTCACATGCTGCTAGAAAATCAGTCTCAGTAGGGCCCCTTCCACCTTTCTGCCTAGCTAACCAGACACGAGTCTTCACTGCTTGGCTTGACTTCTCCTTCCAGCAGCAAATTCATCACAACCTTTGTCAAATAGCTGCATGTTCCTCTTTTTCCCAGGGGGGCAGTGTTGTAAAAGGAAGTCATGTCATCCTACAAAGGAAAATAGTAAGCAAATTGTTTGATATTTCATGTAAAGAGTTGACAGATAAAATCACTGTCAGCCTAGAGGGAAAAATAAATCCACAGAAGATTTCTTCATGGAAAATATGAGCTCCCTAGGCTTTTCTTTCATTTTCATGAGGCATCTGCTCAGCATATAAAACAAAGACTGACATTTTTAGCATTCCCTTCTTTGCTGATAATTTTTATTTACTTAGCGAACCTTTTCAAGAGTGAATATAAAATATTAAGCAGGGGGCCTAGTGGAAGCATATTATGTAGGATACAGCATGAATGCAACCTGTTCTGTATTCCTACTGCCCTCAGAAGTTAACTTCATAGTTTTCTGGAATCAATGGCCCCTCTTCAGTTAAAAAAAAAAAAAAGCCAACTATATAAGGAAAACTTATCTCTTGCTATATTTCTCTCTCTCTCTCTCTCTCTCTCTCTCTCTCTCTCTCTCTCTCTCTCTCTCTCTCTCTCGCTCTGTCTCAACTTCATAGCTGAACTAACTAGTAATTAAGTCAAAAGTAACATGAATTCCTCAAAGAAGTCAGACTGCTTCTATTTTGTACTCTGCAAATGGTTTATAAGCTAATTTGTGAGAGATTAAGGATATTTTGAAGTATCAAGACAAAAGGTGCTTTCTATAAAAAGTTGTTTACTTACTTGTTTTTCAATTTCTTTTAGTCGACTTTCATCTTTTTGAAATTCATGAAAAGCTTCTTTCACCAGTTTATCTAGATCTACTTTGTCTTGAAATTCTAGCTCAGGGTTTCTTTCCAGTACAATGGATACAACCATCAGTAACTAAAAAACAAACATCGAAAGCCAATTATATGACCCACAGTAACATACTGGACATGTTTTTATTTTTAACTAGACTGATGGATGACACTCACATTCCACAATATGTTCTATATGAATGAGATTTAAAAATCACCTATTGATGGAATCTTCCTAATTTTGAAAATCACCAGTATAAATTTTATTAGGAATTACATTTTTTATTATATATGTCCCTATAGGCATATAGAAATTATTTTAGTCACTTAAATAAAACTAGAAACTTAGAAAAATGTGGTGGTCTATTTACTAAGGGTCTGAGTTCCTCTGGAAATCAACCCTTGTTGGCAAGACACCAAAAGCCATGTGCAGCAGGGCAAGAATGCCATGGAAGAGAGGTAGGGGCAGGGTGGAGTGAGGTCAGAGAAGGGAGTGGGTCAATGGAGACTCAGGGATGAAGTTTCAACAACATGGTGCCTAACACCTCAAAATGAGTACAAGTCTGGATGCTGCACAAATTTCTCAGGGGATAGCTGTAAAAGTATATATATATACTTTTAACTCTGGTCTTTTCATGACATGGGTATTAGCTGGCCTGTAAGTTGAATGCATCACCATATTCAGTGGCCCTGTATATTTATACAAGTGGTAATGTTCACTTTAGATGATAAACTCGTACATGCAGAGTTTGTGTCTGCTATGCAATGACTGATAAGGCTTTCTGATGAGGCTTATGTATCCCTCCTTGAGCACTGAGCAGGAGACAAAAATCTTAAATTCACAATTTGGAAATTTCACTGAATGTATTTTATTTAAATGCTTCCATAAGAAAACCTAAAAGAATCAAAAGAAGTGCTTTCAATAAAATCCAAGGCCAACAATGTGTGAGACCCATCGGGCAGGGATTTAGTCAGAACACGAAGTTCTGTTAGAGTGCTACATATCACTTTGGTCAATGACAAGGGATTCTAAGTCTACTTCATACCTCAGATGCTAGTCACTGCACATGGAAGGAAGAGTGAGCTCACAGCACAAGAAAGAATCCACCCTTAAATAACTTCATCTTTTCATGACCTGACTGTATCTCACTACATGTTCTATAGAACTGATTAGTTAATCTTTTTCACATCTTGGGACAGCAAATATGAGGTCAAAATGTACTCTGCTCTGACTGCAGCTCCAGAAATGCTGGATTATAGGAGGTGTGGCATCCAGTTTACTACTCAGTGCTAACTTCTGTACTAGTGAGACACTAACTACATGTAAGAAACACAAAGCCTAGTGGAGACATTCCAAGAGAAAAGACAAAGTGACAACAAGCCACATTTAAATCCATCATTTGCAAGTTCATTATATATCTAATGTAATTTTTTAAAGTAAAAAATGGCATATGTGTGCATATGCCCATGTACTTTACCATTTAACTTATTTAAAGCATTGGTATAGCACAAAGATGTCTTCTCTACACAGGCAATGTTTGGAAAGATGTCCTTCAAAAGATTAACTGTGATAAGCTCCTGCTAGCGGGATGTGGGGGGCAAGTTTTTGTTTTGTATGATTTTTTTAACTACCGAAACTTTCTAGAGTAATAATGTATTATTTCTTTTAAAATAAAAAATAATGAAGACAAACTTACTAGAAAAAAATCACTTCCTCTCTTGCTATGGTGGTGCATATATGCTTACCAGGGGTGACAGTGCCACTTAAAGGCTCGCTCTCTTTTTTGCTACCCAGAGGGATGAAGGTGTTCAAGTTACTGAACACCTTGGCTTAGGTCACAGGTGGCCATATTCTGGAAGATTCCACTGAAGGAGCTGGGAATAAGTGAGGGCAGTTTTCCTAAGCCAGTTTTCAGGAAGTAGACTAAAAGCATATCTTCAGAAATTTACATTTTTAAATACAAACCTCTACAATGATCTGTCTATACTTTGGCTGGTCAATGTTTCCCAACATGTCTTCAACAAGGAGAGAAAAATTCATCTCATACATGGTCATATCTGACAGAGTTGGTTGCTGAAACAAATAATTCCATATTAAGATGGTGCTGAAGGTCATACTGTGGGTCTTTTTCAATAGAAGAATTTCATTTTCTAATCAAAAGTCTTTTTTCAGTTTCTATAAAACCTTAGCATTTTCATTTGACTTCTATGTCAAAGTACTAGAGCCAATAGGCTGATTACTGTGATAAATTAAACCTCCCATTTTTAGTAGTTCTCCCCATTATATTAATTTTTTTAGAGGAAAATGCTATATAAGAAAGCCACTTGAATACAACACAGGACCAGCCAAAAATTGAGACAACAAATACGGTACACATTGCTTTGAGAATTAACATGGAAGTAATGTTTGCTGTCAGACTTCACCACACTTGCTATTGAATGTACATAATTTCTGTGGCAGGTCCTTTCTAAGCTTGTAGTATAAAATACATACAAATAATAAAAAACAGCATTATATGCAGAAATGGCAATGAAACAGAAAACAAAAACACAACTAAAACAATTTTTTTTTTTATTTTGCCCTTTAGCTTTTATTTAATACAAGAGTATTCACAGTCTTCCATTCACTTTTCACAACCAAATGAAAACAGAAAGTAACTCAAATGGAAATTTGGGCATGGTAAAAAACACTCAAAGATGGGAGAAAAGAATAAAATGTAGGCTTGTGTGGATGGAGACATCACAGAATTGCTAGCAGAGAGGAGAAATACTTATTTGATTTTATCTTACTGAAGATTTACCTTAAAGTTACCCATGGCTTCAAAAAATGTGTATCTACTTCCTATTCCAAATCAAGTTTAACAAAGTTGTTTAGCATGGTATAACCCCAGTCCTATACTTAGTACATCTACTTGACAGTCAATGTAAGCCAGTATGTTGTTGATGGTCACAAATAGTACCAATTTGGGAAAAATTAAACCCAGTTGCCAAATATGCTTACTGTAATTGTTTAGATGTCTAACATTGGGATTGACAAAGTAACAGAAAAAAAAGGAAGACCTTTTCATGGTTTTACATTAATTTCCTTTTAATTTGTCTCATTTCAAATCACTAAAGCCACTATGCAACTATGAAAAACCTAAAGAAGAGATAACAAACTTGCCTTATTATCTACTTACCTAAGAGGAATTAGGATTAAGAAGTATAGCAGAGAAGGTAGAAGCTTCAGACACCAAATTGCCAGGGGTCATTCCCTGGGCTAGCTACTGACTAGATGTGACCTTGCAGAAATCATTTTCCTATACTTCAGATCCATTAGGATTTGCTTTATATAGTTGGGTGCTCCTGTGTTTGGTGCATACATATTTATGAGTGTTACCTCTTCCTCTTGAATTTTTCCCCTAATCAGTATATAGTGGCCTTCTTTATTTCGCTTAATCATTGTTGGTTTGAAGTTGAGACTGTCTGAGAATAGGATTGCTACCCCTGCTTTTTTCTGAGGTGCTGGGGCATGTAGTATTGT